GACATATATACCTACTATATATATACCTATATATACTATATAATATACACAATAAAGCAAGCATCAAGACTACATTAGTATTTAGCTGGTGACTTGTGTGAGTTGTTTTCTTCTCTTTTCTGCCATGTCTAGAGGTCCATATTCCTGTCCCAAACTCCATGTCTTTGCTGATTTGCTGCTGGAAGCCTAAAATACCAAAGAAGACCATAATTAGCAACACTAATGTAGTCTTGATCTTGACATTGACTCAACAAAGACATTGTTTGCATTAGCAAGCTTAATCTTTGTAGTAGCAAATAACTAGCATTTAATAGTTAGCACATAGCGAGACCATAGCACCCACACACACCACATATTACATAACCAAACAAGTTCAGTACACATAAGCTAAAGTGTTCAACACAGAGTCACAAACATTGACATTTAACAGTCCAACAAAAGTAGGCAACTAACCATCTAATTAAGCAAATCAACATTAAAATTGAAGCCTCTCCATCTCCATCTCCATCTCCATCTCCATCTCTAGTTAGTCCATCTCCAGTTTCAGTTGGTGCAGATTCTTCATCCTCCATTGCTATTGCTGAATCTACATGCTGATCTTGGTCTTCATCATCAACTTCATCAATATCTTGAGTCACTGTGTTCCTTGGATGCTTCCTGTTCCTAGCATAAGTACGCCTCATAGGGGCAACAAGCAAAGACCTGAGTAGCAGCGAGCCTAGGCAAGTTACGTCCCTCTAGACCCTGAGTTGCACCAATAGCCTCATCCACAATAGCCCAAGTCATAGCATCGCCACCACCTTCCTGAACTGGTTATGGTTCACAATTTTCATTGACCCATTCATTTTTCCAATGAAATTCATCAAGCAAGAGTGGATTGCATCTCTTTTCTTTGGAACCCAGCTCTCTAATTTTTTTTAAATCTGTTTTCTATCTTGCGGTTGTAACTGACATATACCAACTTATTTAACCTTTGGTGCTCTAATCGGTTTCTCTTTTTTGTATGGACCTACACAAAATATAATGCAGAATCACATATCAATATTACTACCATACTTAATTACTCAGCAGTAGTACACTAGCACTTACAGCAGAAAATTCACTCCAACTACGCTCGCATCCAGATGCAACGCAACAAAGGCTAACAATCCTTTTTGCTAAACATTCTAACCCTATCAGGCCAAACTGCAAGCCCAGTAGCCCACAAGTCCGCCCAGTTAACAACAACAACAACAAAGCCTTTAAGTCCCAAACAAGTTGGGGTAGGCTAGAGTTGAAACCCAGCAGAAGCAATCAAGGTTCAGGCACGTGAATAGCTGTCTTCCAAGCACTCCTATCTAAGGCTAAGTCTTTGGGTATATTTCATCCTTTCAAGTCTCCTTTTATTGCCTCTACCCAAGTCAACTTCGGTCTTCCTCTGCCTCTCTTCACGTTACTATCCTGGCTTAGGATTCCACTACGCACCGGTGCCTCTGGAAGTCCGCCCAGTTAAACAGATCTAAAAATAGAGTAACCAAACTGGTCGTCCATGTCCTAGTCGGACGACTAATCGCAATTTCTCGTCGACTAATCGGACGACCAGCTTTCTGGTCGAGCTAATCGAGTCGGACCTCCTAATCGAACACCAGGGACCGATTAGGACGAGTAATCGCGATTAATCGGACTACTTGAAAACATTGGAGAGGCGTCCTCTATCGAAGATGAAGTTATTTCTCTGCTTCCAAATATGCCAGGAGGCAATGTTGAAGATCTCCATGAAGAAGGGGTTCCGAAGCTGTTGCTTTGCTTGCATCAGCATTTGGAAGAAATCACTTGTGAGGTTCCAATGAATACCCAGGAATCTCCAGCAAGCCTGACTGAAAGAGCAGGTAAAGAAGAGTTGCTTTATAATTTGTGTTTTTTCCTTTTGAGAATGTTCCTTGTATTTGGCCTATCCATGAGAAGGAGCCAAGCAAAAACTGGGAGTTTGTTGGAATGTTTAGAGTCCCAAATCCAGATAAAAGGAGCGGGGGCTACACATTTTTGAATGGGAAGTTGTAGAACTTTGTTGATGTATAGTTGCTGCTTCCCCAAATATAATGCCATGAATCTTAAGTATTTGGTTGCACTTGAAGTGTCTGAATATAATCTTGGAGGGCTTGATATTCTTGATAAGCTTGCTCTGATAAGGGAAGATGAAACTGGGATTCGATGTTGTTATTTAATAAGAAATTGGACATTAATACCTTCTGATTTTTTGCAAAGGAAAAGAGCCTTGGAAACTTGATTTGTAACACATTGTCATTCTAGAGATATGACCAAAATAGAACCGTTGACCCATCTCCTAGTTTGCAATTAGCAATACCTCTGAAGAGATCGCAAAGCTTTAAAATATCTCTCCACCAGAAAGAACCTTTATCAATGGTGGCATGAGGGATCTCCCCATTGGAGTAATGAGCGTACCAAATCAGCTTGACCCAAGGGATTTCCTTCTTATTGTAGAATTTATCCAAATGCTTAAGGAGCAAAGCAGAATTTTGACTTCTAATGTTGATGATGCCTAGGCCTCCTTTCTTTTTTGGCTTACAACATTTTTTCCAAGCAACTAAAGGTTTCATCTTCACATTACAGTCAGAACCTCTCCACAGACAATGTCTTCTAGCTCTGTCAATGTATTCAAGAACAGACACTAGGAGTTGTAGGGTGCACATTGCATATGTTGGAAGAGAGGATAGGACTGAGTTCACTAGTTGAAGTCTTCTAGCATGAGTAAGAAAGTTGTAAGTAGCTGTAAGTTTTCTTTCCACCTTGTTTATTATGAAGCCAACATGATCAACTCTGGGTTTGGTGGTGCCCATTGGCAGTCCAGGTAATTGAGAGGCAAAGTTTCAAGTTTGCAGCCAAAAACACCAGCAAGCTGTCGGGCCTTTTTAGGTGCAAGGTTCAGAGGGACCAGACATGATTTCTTGTAGTTAACTCGAAGGCCAGTTGACTGGGAGAAAGATTCCAATAGCCCCTTCAGAGTAAAGAGCTCTCGTTGAGAAGCTTTCATGATAAGAATAGTATCATCGGCATATTGAATAATGGGATACTAGGCTGTTTCATAAGAGGGGATTGGGAGCTCGAGCAACCCATCTTGATGACCCCTATTGATGATACATTGTAGAAGATCAACAGCTAACACAAATAGCAGTGGGGAGAGGGGATCTCCTTGTCTAACACCTCGCTTGCATTGAAAATGCTTTCCAGGTACTCCATTGAGAAGAATAGAGGTGAAACCAGAATCTAGGATTCTTTGGGTCCAATCACACCATTTATTATCAAATCCAAGCTGCCTCATCATTTGCATAATGAGATTATGTTCTACAGTATCAAAAGATTTTGTGAAGTAGAGTTTAAGAATGATGATTTCCTTTTTGGACTGTTGGCACTGATGTATATACTCTTACGTCCAAGATAGACAATACTGAATTGTCCTGGACTTGATGAACCCATACTGATTTGTGTGGATGAGAGGGATGATCTTGCCTTGCAATCTGTTGGCCATAAGTTTTGTAATGATTTTAAGTGCACAATTTAAGAGAGAGATAGGCCTAAAATCATTGACACTTGCAGGGTTGTTTGTCTTGGGGATTAAGGTGATGAAGGAGCTATTTATGGATTCCAGATCAAGAGAGCCATTGAAGAAGTCAAAGCAGAGATTGTAGAAGTCTTCTTTGAGAGTATCCCAGCAATTTTTGAGGAAGAACCCGTTGAAACCATCTGGGCCAGGAGCTTTATTAGCAGGCATTCGTTTGATGACTGTATCAATGTCGTCAATGGAGAAGGGCCTTGCCAAATCCTCCAAATTATCCCTAACTTGAACAAGCTGGCTCAAGTTATAGAGCATCACTGGGTTAGTGGTACCGCCCATTCTTTGAATTCTTCCAAAAGCAAGGCAGCTTTCTCATGGTGGTCACAAACAGTTTTTCCATCAGCTGTCTCGAGAGGTGATGGTGTTAAGCCTGTACGTTTCTGTAGCTGATGCATGAAAGGAACTAGTATTTTCATCACCGAACTTTGTCCATCTGATATTGTACCTCTTTTTCCGGTATTTCTTCTGATATCTAAGAAGTCTAAGTATTCAGGTTGCTGAGGTTAGATAGACCTTTACTCCATTTCTTTAAAGCAGCTCTGAGTAGCTTGAACTTGGCGGTTATTCTAGATGCACTGTTAGTGGCATGCACATTGGAGCTCCACACTCGTGGTGCTGCGGGAAGCCAGGAGTGGTGTGACAGCTGGCCAGCCAGGGATTGGGCGGCCACAGCAGCTTCCCTAGGGCCAATGAAGGTTGCCCAAGCGCTGAGAGGGGGATGAGAGGTGGCAGGGTCGAGAGGGGTGGCAGTAAAGGCGGATCTGAGGCAAGATTTGCTAGGCTGAAGTTCTTGATGTCGGGGAATATAGTAGAGTGTGGTGGTTGAGGGCAGAGTAAAGGCGAATTGGATTTGTTTAGGAATGGGGTGCGCGATTCCAGTGAGGGAGTCAGAGAGCCGAGTAGCTAACCTACGCTCACGCTCAGTGGAAGCAGCTCGATGGAAGCTGACCACGATGGATCTAAGATGGTGTTTCGCGGGGTTCGAGTTCGGCGCTGGCTGCACTGGCACGGGGCCATGGACGTGGGGTGTGAGCAGATCAGGGACAGTGGAGGGCAGGGGGCCAATTGACAGGGGGGAGGGGCTTGTCGGCGGGTTGAGGTTTGCTCGCCGTGGGGGCAGAGCGAGAGGATAGGGAAATTGTCACTGATCATCTTTACATTCATAATTTCCTTTACAACGCTAGTTTTCGCTAAAGCATTATATCTTCTGATAAAATGCTCATTCAATAATTTGACAATTTGTTCTATTACCTTGAGAAAGCTACATTTTCAAACATTGTGTAAACTTATCTTTCTTTACATCTATTCGCGGTATATCATGCTAGTAGCGCATTTATGTTTATGTTAAAAACTCTAGTATTATAATTATTGATTCATCTTTTTGTAGGTTTGGTATCCAGTGACATTCGCAATGGGTAAAACATCATTTGATGGACCTGAGTGCATCAAAGAGGTAAAATTACTCTGCCATAATATGATAATAGGTGTTTTATGGAGGCTACTGTCATCCGATAATTTGGACATGATGTCAGCATGCAATAGATGAACACGGCAACACACACATGATGTCAGCCTGCCATAACTTGGAACAACACCCTGCCTCTACCGCAAATTTCCATGCGTGACCCATCTCCAAACTTCATCGACCCATCTTCCCCTCGTCGCCACCTTCACAACCGAGGTTGACTTGGGCGCGTGTCTCGTCGAGTGATAGCCGTGTGCGTGGAGGTTCCACTGCGGCGTCGTTGAGCGCATATCCTTGTGCCATCAACAACGCTGGCTCATTGTCGCTGTCCTCGCCTTGTGCAAGGTGGGCTTGCTCCTTGTGCTTTGGATTCTTGCAATCCCGAGCCCAGTGCCTGGTGTTGCCGCACTTGCGGTACTTGTCGCGGTTGGGTTGGAGATGCGAAGCGTATCACCCTTGCCATGACGTGCACCACCGTCGGGCTTTTCTTGCCCGACTTGCCTTGGCACCGCCCATGGAAGCTGCCATGACCAGCCGAAGAGGATCCTTCCCCTTGCTGCCGCTCCCTCGCTTGCGCTGCCCACTCCTCCGTGAGCAGGACCTTCCTGTCAGCGGTCACCAGTGCTGGCACTGCGCAATGGTCTTCTGCCGCCTTTAGCTGCCCGATCACGTCCTTGATCCTGAGTGTGTCCAGATCGAGCAAAGTCTCGATAGACAAGGTGATCTGCACGTACTTGGGCAGGACTACGCGCAGATACTTGGTGACAACCTCCTCATCCTTGATGGTGTCGCCGAGGGCTGCAAGTTGACTCACCAGCAACTACAACCACAACGCGAAGTCCTCAACTGCCTCATCATCGTGGAATGCAATGGACTCTGTACTCCTGCCGAAGCTGCTGTGCCGTAGTCAGAGCCGACACACATGGTCTTCAGGCTATCCCAAGCCTGCTTCGCGGTTTCCTCGCTCCCGAGAGTCTGGACATACTTTGGTGGCACTGACTGGAGGATATCCTCCATTGCCAGCCGGTCCTCGACCACGTTTGTGGTGCCGATTTCCACCGCATGCCACAATCTTCGAGCTTGGAACTTGACCTTCATCAGCACCACGCACTCACCATAGTTGGTGCAGGTGAGCATTGGGTAGGATGTGTTTCCAACCTCCCCCACCGTCCTCTTGACCAAGAACGGTTGTCGTTCTGGTGACTGAAATGGTCAGCGTCCTCGCTGGTCCACGGAGTGGGAACGTCCTCCTGCACCTAACATTGTTATTGATCTCCCTAACCGCGGCTCTGGTACCAATTGTTAGCTGGCAATCAGGTGCAGACCCTCACCCTTAGACTCTCTCTCTCACTCACACACACACACACTTGAGAGAGATGGTGAAGTGAGAACAGAACACAAACGCAGGAGATGATGCACTAGAGTGCTGCTGTTGCTGAACTGACTATTACATTACCATGGTTGCATATATATACACAGAGGGGTAGGCCCAGTTCGGCGGCGTTGGCGTTGCAGAGAGAACTTCCCAAGGACAAGCGACCTCTAGTGGCGCCAGCGGGTGTAGTTGTCGAAGTCGATGTCAAGGACGGCGGGGAAGAGACTCCGTATGTTCTGCACGACAACGACTTGTGTGTGCAGATTGATAATGGCGGCGGCCTCATGCGCTAGGAGGGCAGCGTGGAGGGGCTGCCGAGGGCTACCATCATTAGGTAGCGACCGGTAGTCATCGTCGTCGGCAGCGGACACAGAGGCGGCGGCGTCAGCAGCGGTGGCGGCCTCAGCAGCCTCTCGTTCGCGAGTCGCGCGGGCCAGAGCGTCGCGAGCGTGGGCAGCGGCCTTGTCCCGCTCCTGAGTAGCCACGACAGCCTCCTGCTCGACTGGCGGCAGGCGGCGTCGGTGCAGGCGCGGGCACGCTCTGCCTCGGCCGCGTGAGCGTGCTCCGCTTTAGCTGTGGGTGCGCTCCGCAACAGTAGCATGGGCGCGCTCCGCCTCATCAGTAGCCGTGCCTTCGTTGGCGGCGTCGGCGGTGGCGGTTGGGGGAACAAGGGTCTCGGACATGAAAGAGCAGTGGGATTGAGGCCACGTGTAGAGAAGGTGCGTGTTACTAACCTTGGAGATGACAGAAGATCGATCCTCCATTAGGGGAGATGACCATATATATAGAGAGCCCTATGGGCTATATGGGCCTGTAGGATGGGCCTTGATATAGACTTGACACCCCCCCTTCAAACTGATGGGATAAGTCTCATGTGTTGGCTGGTCTTTGTAGAGCTGTGCTGGTCACATGGTCCTTGTGGCTGCATGGTCTGTTTTTAGGACAACATCTTAGATTAGAGGACAACATCTTAACATCTAGGACAGCATTTTCGAGGACATCTTAGACTAGCATCTTGGTATATGCTCGGCTGGCTAGCAGCCTATAAATATGTACCCCCAACCCCTCAGGTTGATATGGCATTGTGTGAAAAATAAACCAGAAAATTGCCCTAACTCCTAGTGTCATCCTCTCTCGATGAGAGTAAGAATTTTGCTACTATCAAGAGTAAGAATTTAGCGACTAACAACTGGTATCGGAGCCAGGTTATCCTGTAGCCTGAGCATCTCCTGCTCATCTTCTTTCCCAGACCTCATATAGCAATCTCAGACTAGGAGCAAGAAGAGCCGGCCGCTCTCCCGCTCCTCCTCCTCTCTCCTGCACACTTTCGTTCAAGCAGCCCTCTCCCACGCAGCAGCCCCCCCAGTAGCGCGTCATGTCCGTTAAGCGATCTCGGCCGGCGATCGCCTCGAGCACGCTGGCGTCGGCGAGGCCAACTTGCCATGGCAGAGAACGCGAGCGAAGCGGCAAAGAAGGGGCGCCGAGGTCGGCAATGGGCGAGTCGGCGCAAGCAAATAGAGGCGAGCGGAAGCGTGGGCGGCGGCGGATGTAACGGCGGCGGCGGCAAAGAGAGGTCGAGGCTCATACCGCAAAGACAACCACCGTTGCTGGCGACGACAGCGTCGCGCGACCTCGAGCTGCTGGGAGGGAGGCGAGAAAGCGCGAGCGGCGATGAGCGACAGCAGCCGCGACGCCGCCACGAGCGCCGGCGCGGCAGCCAGTAGCGAGCGCGACGCGCTGGCGGCGCTCCTGGAGGAGGCGCTCACGGCGGTGGCGCTCCTGGAGGAGGCGTGCACGGCGACGGCGGCGACGGTCGATGGAGAGCGCGGCCTTCACGCAGCGCTGTGGGTTTCCCGGATCGGTACCGTGGTTACCACGGGCTCCAGTGTCGTCGTCGGGGCGCCGGCCCGGCGGTGGGTGGCCTACCCTCACTAAGACCAACTACGTCGAGTGGGCTGCGGTGATGAAGGTAAAGCTCGGTGTGCGGCACATGTGGGAGACGGTCCGATGCGGCGGCGTCGACTACGACCTAGATCGACGGCGCCGGATGCCCTCATCGCCGCAATCCGCGCCGAGATGCGACTCTCGCTTACCAACAAGCGGACCGCCAAGGAGGCTTGGGATGCCATCGCCGCAAAGATGCATCGGCGACGCCGACCGCGCCAAGTCCACACTGCGCACTTCGCAAGGAGTGGGAGAACTCGACCTTCAAGCCGGTGGGGGACGTTGATGACTTTGCTCTCCGTCTCAACACTGCATTGCGTAAAGATGGTGCGATTCGGTGATGACACCTACGGCGTGGAGAGAGCATCAAAAAAAGCTCTTCCGCCAAGGCGTCCCGAGAAGTACAAGCAGATGGCTCGCTCGATCGAGTCTCTGCTGGATCTCTCCACGATGTCGATCGAGGAGGCGATAAGTCGCCTCAAAGTCGTCGACAGCGATGAGCCACAGTCTCTCTCGGGGCCCATCACCACTGGCGGGAAGCTCCTTCTCACTCGGAAGCAGTGGCTTGCCAGCGAAGGTGACCGGAAGAAGGGGAAGCTTTCTTCCGCGACAGGCGACCGCAAGCGTGGCAAGCCGCGCAGAGACGCCCAGGGCGGGGCGCGAGGACGTGCCGAGGGTGATGCCCGCGGAGGCGCCCAAGGCGGCGCCGCCGGCAGGCACAAGCCGGCACGAGACGACACCTGCCGCAACTGTGGCTAGCTTGGCCATTGGGCCAAGGATTGTCGACAGCAACGACGCGGCCAGGCCCACGTCGCACAGGCGGAGGAGCCGGCTCTGTTCATGGCACATGCAAGCATCGAGCTACCCCCAGCGGCACCAGCCGCAGTGGCTCTCCTCCACCTTGACGAGCCAAAAGCACACGCCCTCCTCGGCAACGGCTCCGGCAACGACAAGACTGACGGGTGGTGCCTCGACACCGGCGCCACCCATCACATGACCGGTCGATGGGAGTTCTTCACCGAGCTTGACTCTAGCGTCCGAGGCTCCGTCAAGTTTGGGGATGCCTCCGGCGTGGAGATCAAGGGCGTCGGCTCCGTCATCTTCACCGCCGTGTCTGGTGAGCACAGGCTGCTCACCGGAGTCTACTACATCCTCGCGTTGAGGAACTCCATCATCGACTTAGCACACCGGATGAGAACGGTTCGCGCGTGGTGGTTGAGGATGGAGTCATGAGGATTTGGGATCGCCGTCGTCGCCTTCTTGCCAAGGTATCCGAAGCGCCGTCGACTCTCGTCGCCCTTAACGTGTGCGGTGGCACAACCCTTACGTCTCGGCCGCTCGTCGGGACGACGAGGCGTGGCGCGCACGCAGCGCCGAGGCCTGGCGGCTCGATGCCCGCGGAGATGGTGCGAGGCCTGCGTGTGCCTCGACCATGTGGAGCAGCTCTCGACGTCTGCGTGTTGACAAAGCGGGCGACTCCCTTTCCCTAGCGGCGAGCTTTCCGAGCCAAGGAGAGGCTCGCGCTTGTGCACGGGGACTTGTGTGGCTGGTGACACCGGCCACACCAGAGGACGACGCTACTTCTGTTGCTCGTCGACGACCTCTCCCGCTACATGTGGGTGATGGTCCTCGGCAGCAAGGGGAGAGGTCATGCGGGCGCTTATCAGCG